AGTTCATCTCGTGTATCCACTTTTCTTCTGAACACTTCACTCTTCATCCAACCCCATAAACAAAAGTCTAATGGAGTTCGGTCTGGAGATCTCATGGTACTGCTGCGACCGATCCACCGACGGGGGAAAATGTCACTGAGATGCATCACAAGTCGGGTATAATGAGATGGGGCTCCGTACATAGCGATCCGTGTAGCCAGAGACACATCCTCTAATTGTTCTCGTAATCCATTTTGCAGAAAGACGAGGCAATTATGTCCTGTCATACGATAGTCTAAAATAACAGGACCAATCAACATGACATCGATCATACAGCACCACACATTGGTAGAGAAACGACGCTGAAAATTACTTTCCATGTTGATTGTAGTGAGACTGCTGATGCGAGGTACGTGTGTTGCTGATTGCGTTATTTTTTTTATTGCTAGTGAGGTTGGACTAAGTTCCTTGTACTGCGGCCACTTCTGGCCTATTGTACCAGCCCCAGATGATAGGTGAGGGTGATTGTTGAGCAATTAGTGGAATGAAGATTGGCAGGGGAACCGAAGTACCCGGAGAAAACCTCTCCAACGCCACTTTGTCCACCACAAATCCCACTTGACCAGACCCGGGATCTAACCCGGGCCGCCGTGGTGGGAAGCCAGCGACTAACCGCTTGAGCTATGGCGCGGCCTTGATTGCATTAAGTATGAAAGTAGCTTCATCAGTGAATAGCATTACTGGAAGGAATTAGCGATTAATATGTAACCTATGACAAAATTCATTGTGAAGATATGCGGCATTTTTCACACTACTCTTACAATGTCACTACCAACAGTCAAAACGGCCAACTGACGCTTCACACCAGTTCACATGCTTCAGACAGAGGCGCAGCACGGCGGGAGGGGAGGATAATACTGGGTGCCCAATCCAAACTACTGCACAGTGAAATAACTCTATCTCAGATACCATTCGGAATAGGACACATGTACAGTTTTATTTTTCTTCTTGCTTAGACTGACCAATACTGTGACCTCCCGGAATCCTGATCTTTCCTCCTGGGACACCCTCCATAGCGTCGAATGGTAGGATGAACAATGAATTAAAAAGGATATGCAAGGAAGTGGTTGTGAAATAATTAAAATACTAACCCGACATTTCTCCCGAGAAACTTAAAAACAATGGAAATCATCAATCGTGATAGCCAGTCTTCGGCAGAGGTTCAAGTTTGGACCTCAAAAACACGTGGCATGAATATGATCCACTCGACCGCAATGTATGGTGACAAATTTATAGCAAGGATGAGGCCTATAACACTTAAGAGGCAGGTCATATATAGGCCTCCTTGTTTGATCACTTATTTTACAGACCTCTAGTATAGTACCCAGGGTTCAACTGAAAACGTACTTAGTCACCCTCTCCCCAACATTTGCCACCATTCAGAAGTTACTACATTTTCTTGCTGATGTCGCTTTATGTTACTATGACTTAATTTTACAAAATGAAAATAATTCCTTTCTAATACCTCGTACAGCATGGCAGTGGAACCCCTTATTTGCAAGCAAATACAGCAGGACATGAAGGAACCTCTGCCACTAGTAGCAGTTCTCAGTCATCATTTCAGAATAAGTTTCTGAGTACATTCCTTTCAGGTGTGTACTGAATGCACATGTTCGAACTTTTCTCTCTACTTCCGAACAAGTCTCACAGTGAAGTCAAAATGAGCCCTTGATGATAACTAGCAGTCTGCATAAAGACCAAATATCTGTAGCAGCCACCTCAATTCGCGATCACAAATTTCTGTGCCATACACTTTCCTTCAGGTATCCCTCAACGCCAAATCATTTGCCCAGAAAGTTTTTACCAAGCATGGTAGACATGCAAAATTTGGAGGCACACCCTAATACCGAACTAAAATGGTCTCATGAACATTTAGAGGCACATCACCCAATAACAGTGAAATAGTTTCTTCAAGAAAATCTGCTATCTCCTAATCTGTATTATGTATGGCCTGAGAACGTAATAATCTATGATTCCAGTCCAAACGTTGACACTAAAACTTTTCTGGAATGAAAAGTGACAGGCTGCATTGGAATTCTCCATTCTCCATACATGCAGGTTGTGCAGATTATGTACACCACCTCACATAAATACTGCCTCGTCATTACACAACATACTGCACACAAACTGTGGTGTGTCCAGTCCTGTGTAGCTGCCTTCGGGAGAGTAGGAGATGCTGATCTTTGTTCCCTGGCTGCATCCCTCATTCTGGCCAGATGCAGTAGGTGCAATTTCACACTCTTCATCACAAACTCCGCCACACATTAAATATACTCCCATCATGTATGACACAAACTCCGTCCTAAGTGCAACAATTTATTGTAGTTCTTTTGTCATCTCTTCCTCTACACTACATGTTTCGGCCGTAAATGGCCATCATCAGGTGTATTTCTCTCACGTAGCTGTTACACTGCACGTAGTTTAAAATTTAAAAACACCAGCTTTCTTAATTGTTCATTTCTCCGTTGTTAATAGGTCCCAATATATCAGAATCCCCTTGCTGATATTTGTCAGATATGTATAATCGGGATACAACTAAGAGAACCAGTGATAAGTCAAGATTCGAACTGAGTTTCTTCTGACAGAAAATCACAAATGTTTGGAAATTATAACCTGCTTAGTAGTACTTCCCTTCATTGCCATTAGGTCTTTGCATGATGGAAGTTCAGAGGAGTCCTTAGACAATATATCTCAAAAGTTCCATTGGACTACAATGAAACTCCCATTTAAGGTTACTTTTAGGAACTGTGTATTTGATCACTAAACTGAGGAAAATCTCTAATGGATACAATTTAACATTCAGATGGTCTTTGGACCACTGAAACTGAAAATTAAATTAGGGTAAATCTTTAATCTAGAACAATAAATGGATGATTAATTCAGTAACTCACTGATGGCACAACCAGAATGTTTAACACAGTTAATACCGAAGCCAAGCATTCCACACAATCATGAGACAGTTCCATCCACCCCCAACCCCATAGCTTATATCTGTAATTCATTTTAATAATATTCTTCACAGTCTTTAAAGTCTTAATTTCCTTCTGTAAAAATCTGTATGCATTCGTCTCCTTCTGAGCTGCAATCCAAGCCTGCTATACCAACAGCAGTTGATGACCTGTACAGTCACAAAGTTCCTAGTTACTGTACTATCCCAAACTGCTCAATATTTTGTTGGACATCTTGTCTTCAGTTGCTTGTAATTTATGTTCATCCCTTAGGAGTATTTATAGGTTAAGGTCAATGAATACAACTGAGATGTTGGTTGGAATGTGACATATGGGAATTGATAAGGAATTAATAAAAACACATTAATCTATTCAAATCATTTTTCACAAGTACAAAATATTATTTATGTATAATAAAAAGTACACATTTCTTTCATTTGCAAAACATGTAATACATAATTGTGAAATAAAGTGAGTCAACTGTATAAGGTAAAACCACGTTTTTTTCTTTAATTAAATTGACATAAGCCCTGACACCATACTGCATTACTCTGCATAATTGGGCAAAATAACTTTAATCACCATGTTTCATGATCCTATTAGCATAACTTTTATTATTGTCATACATAATGGTTAGGTGTGACTAATAATTTGGGTTCTAGATTTGATGATTGGATTTACTGGACATCTCTATTACAATTATAGTTGATTATAACAGTTCTCATATTGAAATCCGTCTTGATAATGAATATCTCACTGTATTTTTTCTAGTTCTCAGACTGGCTTCTGGTCTATTGTTCTTATCTGACTGCACAATTTTGGCATTCAGATGTCATGTAACATTATGGACAGATAGGATCCATTCATAATTGAACTATTTAAAACCGTGAGAAACACAAATGAAAAGCCAGACTGGAATTTGAAGTCATCATTTTCTAAATGTGTTCCCTACAATTTTGTCTAACTCAGCAGTACTGATATTCATTTTCTACATACACCAATCCATTGATGACACCAAGGGCAAGGCCAGGATTTTACTAAGGAGAACAATCAGTTTTCCAAGAGCAGCAGGCAGAAAATTGCTCATAAACTTCTTTAAACCAAACAAAACTGTTTTTAATAAACATCCTACAGTGTTCAGGGTTGAAGAATGTTTTTTAAACACATTTTATTCATAATATTAATGTTTGGTATATTTCTTTCGCCTTTCAAATTTTTATTTCTTTCCAAACATCAGGGGAGGGGCAAATTTCCCCCTGACCTGCTGGCACCCATGGATTACACAGCAGATAAAGTAGGCCTATAGAGAAATCAATTTTCTTATTATCCCCTTTAAACATTCGCCATATCAATTTTTTAAAATAAAACCAGTAGATTTTGATTAAATATCTTATGCAGTATAAATTACCATTCTTTCCAAGAAAAAAAAAGATTGTTATCAAAATTTAAATAACTGGTTTCCATATATAGTATCAGTTTATACCAGATTGATATAAATCAAGATTATGTTCTGACAAACCTGCCTCCCCCAGTCACAAAATATCATAAAAATCCATTTAGTAATTTCAAACATGAAACATGTGAATGCCCACATCTCCCCAACATGGTACTGCTTTAAGATACAAATAAAATTCACAAAACACAGAGCTTCATAAGCATGATCCAAAAGATCCAGAATAGAAAATGTATGAGTATTCTTTTCTGTTGCAAGATAAAGCTATTGTATAAACATGAACAAATTTTATCCAGTTAAACAAAGTATTAAGTGTATGCATAGCATAACAATCCTGCCATGTTTGCTCACTTTTGTTTAATTATCTCAAAAATTGAAAATCTTGTGAAAAAAATCACAGCAGCACTTGTGTGGAATGTTTTCATTGTGCTGAATATTTACCAAATTATATTCAAGATACACATGAAAATGCATGTAGATCTTCGCATAAAGTGTCTGTTACTATTACACAATTTTAATGTAAATCAGTAAGTGTGGGTAAGTTTAGTTATAGTTCCCAGTACATAATTTTACAAAAATCTGTTCTACAGTTCTTGAGTCTGTACATGCAGACGCATTGAAGGTGCACTTCTGCAATTTTTCATTGTGAATCCGCCAAAAATAGTAAATTGGCAAATCACAATCCATAAAGATGCTTCTGATTAGTGATCACAGACCTTGCATTACAAAGTGACTAAATAAAATTCATAATTCTTGGAATGTTATCATTAATACACTAAAGTATTAGATGTAGTGGGCTACCCCAACATTAACTATGGACGGAATGCGGGCTAAATTGTTTTTTTTTTTTTTTTTTTTTTTTTGGTATAACACATGTTCAGATTGTTACAAAATTTACAACTTTCATCCAAATTCTCTTTTCTCACTAGTAGATACAGTAACTAGTCTCAGCTACCAGTCAAATTTAGTACACTTCTATGCAACCATGAATCTGCACTTGGGTTGAAAGATCTGAACTGATATAGAATTCATAAGCACACAGTCCATCACGGTTTCCAATATGGAAATTACTGTACTTTACAGTATGATACAGAATGTCCCTTGCTCAGACAGAAGCATTTTGATTGGATATAAAATTTGCTGAATTCTAGTCTTCTGGATTTCATCACCCTGTGGAAGTGTAGATGGTTATTGAGGTTCAAGGGGAAATTGCTGCAACCTGCTGCCTCCATCTTTATAGTCTGTTATATGATCAAATTCATTGTAATCCACACAAGCACATAAAACTAGATCCTATGCTGAGCTATGAAATGAAATAACTTGTGTTACATGTCAATGTTTAGCAGCACTGCACAATTTTGGTGTGAGTCACAAATTCCTGCTTTTTTGTAAAATAATTACTTCAGTATGGCACCTTCACTTCCATTGAACTGCTTCCAGTCGCCACTGCTGGCTGATGTGCTGTGTGCAGGCCTGCAGAACCAGAGATTCTTCCAAATTGCTGGACTCTGGCAGGGACAGACACATTCCACTTGAAACATGCTGCAGGGAGAATGTCTGAAACAGTAAAATGCGGCAAGGTAAACATTTGAAACTGCAAACATGCTCCATAGAAAATGTGTGAAAGAGTACAACGAAGATCTGGGAAGAAGTACCTCTATACTTTCCTTTGATACAACATGAACCACGTATAAAACAAATAAATTATAGAGGGGTACACTCACAAGACAGACACGTGGACAGCAGTGTGTTCACATAAGCTTCCTTTTATTTTTTCAAAAGGAGTAAAGTATACACAGAGACACAAGCAACAAGGTAATCTCATAACACTCCTTTTATTTCTTCTTAAATAAGTAGGCTAAAAATGCCACACAGAGAATGTCTGAAACAGTAAATACTCTGCCTGCATGATGGGTGTCTGAAGTAGTAAGCGTGATGCGTGGGAAATGTATGAATCGGTAAACGTGCTGCATCATGAATGTCTTAAATAATAAGCACGCTGCATGGAAAATATCTGAAATAGGAAACATGGTGAATGTCTGAAATAGTAAATGTGCTGCGTGGCCAGTATCAAAAACCAGTAAATGTTTTATTTTTGCCTTGAACAATATATTAAATTAGCAGGTGAAACACTCCAGATGGAACCTTTACTAAACCTAAAAATTTGAAATAACTACCATGCACATTGGCCCGTGTTTTAATACTTATGACTTGCATTTGAATGGTGACTAGTTTGAATCTCAGCTAAAACACAGATTATCCTGACTGAGCTTCTGTGTGGTTTCCTTCAGCCTCTCCTGGAAAATGCTGGCAATTAGGACAGTTTCCTTCCACAACATTTTGAATTCATTATTCACTAATCATCATATTATTCAACACTAAATTATTTGAATCACTGATAAATCATTAAATGAACTATAAATACATAAATAGATAGAAGGAACCAGCAACCTGGAAGCAGAAGTCAATGGGTTCAATATCAGAAATACCAAAACCAACCACTGAACATGTACTGACATAGCTAAACTGTGGGAAAATTCTCACAAACTACATCTATAGAATGTCTTCTAATTTTTTTTCTCTTTCCTGGTCTTCCATGTGGACATTTTAGGTCATAAAAACATGGCACTTGTTTCATGTACTACCTGTACTGAACCTACAGAAACTCTAAATTCTGCCCACTTATGGCTTTTAAATGATTTGTATAATGCGCACAGTAACAGTACTTGCCCAACAGCATAGTTGTTCAATCTTTGCAATGGAGGCAGAATGTGTTTCCTGTTGAACTAGGAATGGAACTTTTGAATGTTACATAGATGAACTCTCTGCTTCAAAATTTAAAAGGTTTTTCAATAATTTTCCGCAGGCAATTTATGCTTCCCTTTTTCAAGCTGTAAGGTCCACAGTTATAAAACTGCATGGTATGTATAATTGTAAAGGCTGGTTTGCTTGGAAACAAGAGCAGAAGGTGTACTCTAGTATGAAGTACTTGAACTATCAAACCTAATTTAAGGTACCAACTCTTGTCTTTTGAGAGAAAATTTACTCGTATAAGTCACTTTTGAGCATCATCTGACTCCTTTTCTTCAACCAAATGACTACTTTGGTTCTCCTGAGCCAATTACCTATAATTCCAGCAACGTTCTATGCTCATCTAATGTCAGTGGCTGGTACTGCAGTCCTATTTGCGTGGCTAATATATCAGTGGATTCAGTGTCACCCACTCCTACAAGGCTTATCATTTCTTTAATTCTTGGAGTGGGGTGAGACTGAGTCCCTTGCAACTGTAGCTGCAAATGGACCAACTGTATTGGCTCAAGACAAGAGATAAGAGAATGGAGGACTGCATGAATGATAGCTGGCAGGGAAAAATGGGAGGATTCCAAGAACACGCTTCATTGCTTCTTAGCATGTTTAAACCCCCCCCCCCCACTGACTCCCCTAGGATTGAACCCAGGTCTCAGTGGTGAGAAGTCAGTGACTATCCATCTGAGCTATGGTCTGGATACTTCTATAACTAAATCATCTCTCAGTTAGAGCAGTTTCAGGCATAAACTGACATTAGAATTGTAGCTCCACTTCTGGCGGTCCTGCCCACTGCAGGCCATGATGCGAACTTTGGGTTGCAGCGTGGTGTGGTCCTTTTCAGGGGCATCCAGGCACACAGATTCATCTGTCATGATGACTCCTGAGGGAGACATGACAAACAACTGCAGCAGATTTGGCTCCTCAGTACAACTGATTACAGTAGCAGAGCCCATGGGCTGGTTCAGACTGCCCTTACCCAGTGGCTTCTGCAGACAGCCACCTGACTGACGGCTACGTATCTGCAAATGGAAGCAGTGACACGATAAGCATCTTATACTCATACTATTAGTATGCTTAAATCAAGATGAATTAAGAGATATGGGGTTTCCATGCCCATAAATATTTAGATTGTAGTCTAATACACTCTATGGTGTCTGACAGGTGGGTACCAACAATCTGAAGTAACATAAGGCCTCCATCTTGAGACAGAAGTTCTGCAAAGATACATGGTGTAGACTTTAAACCTTGAAAATAGATGCAGCAGGCTCATCCAAATTTGGGTACCCAAATACCAGACAGTGTAGAAATTACACCTTGAAGATGGAGGTAAATGTTTAAACTGAAATGTTGGAACCCACAAAGAGACTATACAGTGTGAAAGTTGTATCTTGAAGAAAGTGACATCTGTATTATCTGCCTGTTTAATGCTGTTTAGAGGAATAATTGCTGTTTATTCTGAGAATCATGTAAAACAAACAAATGCACTCTCTGACAAACTGCAGTTATTTTAGTGTTATTGCAGGGGTAATCATCATCATCATCATTATCTTTATCACTACCAACACCATCCACTTTAAAGTAGGTTTTTATTTGCCTGTTCTGCCTCAAAGGAGTGTGGAAGTGCTACCCAATCAGTGCTCATGATGGCAGCTCCAACACCCATTGGTCCGAGCACCACTTAGCAGCAAAGGTATAAAAATGTGGACCTCCAGCACACTAGCATCAGGTCACAACTATGCTTGCATCAAGAGAACAGCACAACGGTGAGTCTACTAGTAGCAACACTGACGCCAACTCCACCAGCAATCACCAGTGTTCATCAGGCCAGCCAGCTGCAGCAGGAGCTTTGTCAGCCAGTTTGCTACTGCACGAGCTTCACCCGGCATCCCGCCAGTTTGCAACCACTGGGATGCTGCATGGAAGAATGCCGACACTAATGCTGGCTACCCCACTTTGACAAGAGTTTCACCCTGCATCCAGTAGGCATACCTGGTTTCTGACAAGCATCCCTTCTCAAGGACAACAATATAACCGCCATCACTAGCTCAGGCTAGTCCACTATGAAGGGAGTTTTTGCCAGTATTCATCAGACATGCTCTGCTTCCCTGATGATTTGTAGTATTCATTCTAACAGCAGTATACATTTGTTATAGTTTTACATGGTTGTCTCTTCGAACGTCAACATTACACAAATGAACATACAGTTACTGCTATGCTTTAGAAATGTTAACCTAGTAATATTACTCACCTTACCAAAGAAGCGGTCTTCCTTAGGCAGGAAATGCTGTGGCCAGATTTGGTCTAGGTACCACTCAAAACTCTTGCACTTCAGCCTCTCTCGGAGTTCGATCCGTGATCTCACACTCTGACGGTCTCTCAGTCGGGCAGCCCCTAGAACAGTAAGACAGTCTCAGCAACTACACAATTGGAATTCAAATGGTACACCACATTTGGTATTACTCAGATTCTTGAGCACTTCCATATCTAAAAATTCAATGATGAATAATAGCTGTTCCTTATGGGGATTAACGATGTTGCCCAAATCTTGGTGGAAACACTGCCTGTTGTGGCTCAAATTTCTTGTGGATCTCTTAAATCCCCCAGGCAGATACAAGGGTAGTATCAGAAACATTCTGCAGCCACTTTATTCAGTTCACCATAGATCATGCAGTCACATTAATTCTCATTCAAGGCTTTCTCTATAAAGCTAAAGAATAAAGGAAAATATAAGATTATAATCTAATTGGTCCTTTGTTATTGGTGTTACACTTGGTGTTTCTCCATAACAGAAGAACACAGATTGAGAACAATGGAAACAGGGAACTGAGGAGAATATTTAGGCCTGACAGAGAGGAAGGAAGAGCAAAACACAGAAATGTGTATAATGCGGAGCTTAATAATCTAGGTTCTTCATCATATATTATTAGGATGAGCAATTCAAGGAGGACATGATGTGTGAAACATGTAGAACACATGTAAGATTTGAGGTTTTCACGGCGGTGACTATGAAGAAAGCAGTCTTCTGGGATGTGGCACTGTGTAGATGTGGTATTAACCGACGTTTCGGAGGAACGTATCGCCTCCATCTTCAGGGTAAAAGGAAAAATAAGAAATCCGTGAACAAAGAGACCGTGCAAACCGGTACAAGCAGAATTTTGTCTGTTTGTCAGTCTGCTTGTACCAGTTCGCACGGTCTCTTCGCTCGCGGATTTCTTATTTTTTCTTCTACCCTAAAGATGGAGGCGATATGTTCCTCCAAAACGTCGGTTAACACCACATCTACAAGGTGCCACATCCCAGAAGACTGCTTTCTTCATGCAGAACACATGTTGAAAATAATAAATACATGTAATACTTTAGTAGGAAGACCTGAAAGGAATACATCATTTGAGAGATCCAAATGTAAATAGGAGAAAACTATAATAAATCTGAAAGAAAAAGGGTGTGGAGATGTGAATTTGATTCATCTGTTTCAAGATACAGTCCAGTTCTTGACACCTGTGAACAACTGTGCTGCTATTGCATGAGGAATTCTGTCCCATTTCATTAGTTCTCCGATGAAGGATATTCGAAACTACCTGTGTGAATTGAAAGGGAGCTGGGAAAGATAAGTTTGTAATGTAGATATAACTTCAGTAATAAACAGCAAGAAATAATACAAGAGAGAAGCAACTTGGTGGTACAGCTTATACTTTTAGTTGAATTGTGTAGAACTCCTGGTCTAACATAACTGGAGGTTAATTGCCATTAACATTTGTATAGCACACTCCACTCTGTCCTTTATTAGCCTGCACTGAACCATCATGATGGGACATGCACTGGTCCAGTAGACCTAATACATCCCACCACAAATGCTTTAGTAGTGGGGGATTTAAATCCCCTGTTCAAGATAAATGTTATAACTGTAAGTTTTTAATAGTCCGGAACTAAAAGTGAGGAAAGTGAACAGACCTGGGTTGAACTTGAAGTAAAATTCCTTCCAGTCATCCATCCACACAAGAGCAACTCTTGCAAGATTAGAGTACAGCACCTCACCAACTCCCCCTGGGAACGTGTATGGCGAGGATTTGCGGAAGAGGTGGCCAACATGAGAGCAGGGTGCTATCTCCACACTGCCACCGCACTGCCACACCTGCAAGACATAATGTGCATTTCAGGATTTTGAAGTAACACACATTTGTCACTTTTAACATTATTCATGCTTGTAACACACACGTGAAAGTTGACAAATATCCCCCCCCCCTTGATGGAAAAACCTGGAAAATGAAGATCATTTAGGAGAAGACATTGACATAGATGGAAGGATAGCAGTATTTAAATGGATCTTAATGAAATAGAGTGGGAGGGTATGGACCTGATTCACCTGGATCAGGTGACACATCTTGTGAGCATGGTAATGAACTTCCACAACCAAAAAAAGGCAGTGAATTTCTGACCACCTGAGTGACTACCAGTTTCTCAAGGATTCTCTTTCATGGAGTGACTTTGAACTAAATACTGATGAAGTTGCTACTTACTTCTTATTGTGGTCTCTTGGGTTAAGCCACCATGTAATCAGGTAGGCAACTACAAATACACTGGAGAATCTGCTGCCTCAATCTTCAGGTAAGAATATGGTGAGTGGTTACCAACGTTTGGAAGGAATCTGCTGTCTTCTCATTTAGTAAGAAGATGGAGGCAGCAGGATCCTCCAAAACATTGGTACACAACTACCAGACTATATGGCATCATAACCTAGAATACCACAACATGAATCTTCATCACCATGAGAATCTCAAATTTTATATTGCTCCTTAACTTGGGTCAGGGAAAGAATGAATAGAAGCAATAGAAGTTTGAGTCAGCTGGCTGCCCCCCTCCAGCTGCCAACATTGCAAATTTCAATTCATGAACACCAATAACAAATTGTGAATGCAGACAGCGAAAGCATGAGAATAAAAGTGACCAAAGTGGATATATGACAGAAGGCACATAGAGGGAAAGTAACTTATATGTGTATGAGTGGCAGAAGATCTCCAAATTTTGGTATGATAAAATAATAACATATGTGAACACAGGATGAAGAACAGAAAAGCAGAACCTTAATAAGAGGTTATTATTCTAGTGAAAAATCTGGAACTGGTTTAAGTGCTGAATTATTTAACATCACCCTCTCACCAGCACTGGTTGAGCAGCATTTAACACATTCAGGACCAGAGGGGCCAATTGGCCCTCTACATTTCTATAGCGTTGCGGACCGGGTGGGCCAATTGGCCCTTTTCTGACACGATAAGTTGCAACACATTATACATTGCTCTAGCGCCACCTATATTGCATGCAACTGCCTGCAGATGGGTGATAAGGCTCTGGAATGTTTATTTAGCTGTCAGTAACTTGACCTCAATATTTACTTAACCGACTATAAAGGAAAATGCTTTGCCTTCTTCAAGCTGTGTGTATCAGCCCATAGGTAGTGGGGAGAATGGATCAAGGACAAATTCTCCTCTGAAGACCTAGCTGACCTGGCTTGTGTGTGAGACGCGTAGTAACGGTGATTCAGAGAGCAGCAGTGGCAGGGGAGAACAAAGAATTGTGGCCATAGACTGTAAAAGTGACAGTAGCTCCAACGATAATGCAGGTAATAACATTGCGCGTAGTAACATTGCGGAGACAGCAAAAAATCTAAAAAAAATCTAAACCCTGATTCAAAATTGATATACAAAACATTTCTGATGAATGTGGCAAAGGCTTGGGTTACAGACCAGATGGTGGCGAAAGAACCGGAGTCAGACAGACTTAGTGCGACCTAACCCATCAACTCCCACCTGACACAGGCCTCATGTGGACACCCCTGGGCGACTCTCGGGTGATATGCAGAAACATACCCTCGTGAAAACTGTGAAGAGTGAACATTCCAAGGGGAAGCATCCTTCTAGGCAATGCCATGTTTTCGCAGTTCACAAAAAAAGGACTATGACTGTCTACATTNGCCACTTCACATAGGGGAGTGTTTCCAGAAATACCACACACTTAAGCACTTTTAGCAGCATTGGTAAGTGTTCTCCAAAAATTTTAGTTCATAAAATTAATTAGGAGATTTTATATTAATTTTTAAAGTTAACAGTGCACAAGTTAGGGTAGTAGGTATAAAAATGCCGGTCCCCAGGGTGATTTAAATATTTAAATCGCCGGTCCGCAAAGTGTTAATAATGAATGGAATGATCATTATAAAGGATGAGCTAGGAAACATCTGGAAGGAAGCAGCTGTGCTCTGTTTTAAAATATGTACTATCCAAAATATATGTTCAGGGGACTCTTGAAAACATGAAAGACCTTGAATATTCTGGCTGAAATTCCAACCTTGCATCATCTAAATATGAGACAGGAATGAGAAGTTGTCCCACAATATTACAAACATTGACAAGAACTTGGTATAAGAGAAAGCATAAAGGCATAGCATTATTAAACAACTCCACTGAGCACATTTTTCTTCTCAGAAGCTGATGATTGCTTAGTTGGTCAAGAATTACCACCTTTTGTGGAATCACAAGCATCATTACTGTGTTGACAAGCTCCCACCACTGAATCCCACTTTAATTATATGAATCCAGTCAATACCCTCACATTTATTTATGTAAAAGCCATTTTAATAATATCCTCTACCTACATGTATGTCTCCTTTAGAATCACCGACCACAATTCTGCATGCATTCCTCATCTATCCCATGCATGCTATGTGCCCCACACATCTAAACCTTCTTCATTCGATTTCCCTGACAATATATGATAAAAACACAAATTATGAAGCTCCCCGTTGTGTAATTTAGAGGATGGCCAAAAATGAAAAGAAAATGTGTGAGGAAAGTTCTACTTCTGAGAACCAGACATAAGGGTAATGATTTGCAAATTATCTTACCCGGAATGATAACTCCAGATTTTCACCTCCCCATATTTCCATCTGATCATCATAGGCACCAATCTCAAAGAAATAATCCTTATCCATTGCAAAGAGCCCACCAGCCATTACTGGAGTCCTGAAATGCAAGTGAAGCAAACAATTTCACAGATCAGCTGATTGTCTAGAAAATTTGGGTCTCAACGTCTCACAACCCTATGGGACTCCACAACCTATTACAGGGATAGCTTTACATTTTACCTTTTTATATATTTATATTTATATTTATTAGACCTATAAATTCTGGTGGAAGGAAGCTTCATTTAATTATTAGCGAGACTAACAGGGTTTAGTAATCCTTGGGTGTGAGTGGGAGGCTGTTATCGAGTGTTGAATATAGGTAAGGAGATTGTGAATCATGAATTGTGACACATGCGGAAGGAGACATCTACAGTCCCCTTTTAAGGTGCTGTTTGTGGTAATATATTTCTTTTGGCTATATTTTTCACAACAGAATATATTAATTTTTAAACCATGTAGTGTCTGCAATGTTGATCATCTGTATCAGTAATACTAGTACATTTATATCTGATCTATTAGTCTACCAATATACGAGTATACATATATACACCACTGTCCTAAAAGTACCCGACATTATTTTTTGCCACAGTAAGGAATGGCCAAAGGGGTGGGGAAACTGAGCATAGTGGTGCATGCGTGATTTTTTGCTGACAAGCAACACTGACACATGCGTCTGTGGCTGACAGATGACGAATTGGTGTAACACGTGTTCATCACATTCTCATTTCGCTCAAGATTACAGAATGCTTGGAGCAGTGATACTGCATCATGTTTTGTCAGAAACTTGGGGATATGCAAGCAGAAACAATCCACAAATTCAGCAGGCATTGCAGTGATGCAATGGGGGTCACTCAAATTATGAGTAAATAGCGGTTCAACCGCTTTAAAGATGGCCGTATGTCGGCAGACAGTGACCAGTGTTCTGGGAGACCGTCAACAAGCCATAATGATGATGTCATTGAAAAAGTGTGGACACTGATCATGGAGGACCGCCGTTTGACCATCCACAAAGTTTCTGATGATGGTGGGATCAGCAAAGGTTCTGCAAACACAATTTTAACTGCGTATTTTGGCACGCGAAGAGTGGCGGCAAAATTTGTGCCCAAGCTGCTTTCACCGGAGCAGCAACAACTCCGTCTTGAGGTCGCGCAGGACAGGCTGGAGTGCGCCAACAGGGATCCTGAGTTCCTGAAGACTGTGATCACTGGTGACGAGTTGTGGATGTATGGATGACCAGGAAACCAAGGTCCAGGCGTCACAATGGAAGCATCCAACATCCCCGAGGCCCAAAAAAGCACGACAGGTTTGGAGCAATGCGAAGGTGATACTGACTTTTTTCTTTCGATTACCAGGGTGTTGTGCATCATGAGTATGCACCATTAGGCCAAACTGTAAATAAGGAGTACTACCAAGAAGTCCTCCGCCATCTTTGTGATGCAGTTCGGCACAAGAGACCGGAGCTGTGGGACACACGCAACTGGCAGCTGCATCATGACAATGCCCCAGCTCATTCATCACACCTGATCCAGGGTTTCCTGGCCAAGCATAGCATTCCGCACGTTCGCCAGACTCCCAACTCTCCTGACATGGCTCATTGTGAATTCTGGCTGTTCCGGAGATTGAAGACACCGCTAAAAGACTCCCGTTTTGACAGGCCCGAGGACATCATACAGAATGCAACAGCGCAGCTGCATGCCGTTCCAAAGGAAGCCTTCCAGAATTGCTTCCAGTGATGGAAGGACCGCTGGGCTAAGTGTATGGAGTCACAAGGAGCCTACTTTGAAGGGGGTGAGGTATTGTAACCACCCAGATACAGAACTTTGTTTTCCCGGCCCAAGGTTGGATACTTTTAGGACAGAGTAGTGTATATACATATATATATGTATGTATTTTATCTGAATCCTGGTTCCCACCATGGACCTAAAAGAGAACACCCAAAGATATAACAAAATATACTTTGTACTCTTTCAATATGTATGACAGCCATGGCTGTTAAACTGATTTGCAAGGACAGTGATAGCATTCCTGAATGTGATTTGAATCCCCGACCGCCTCTGTGGTCTAGTGGTAAGAGTTCCTGCCTACAGATCCGAGGTCCGGGTTCGATTCCCGGCTCTACCAGATTTTTCTGATAAGTAATGAGTCTGGAATGGGGTCCACTCAGCCTTGTGAAGATAATTGAGGGGCATTTTCAATGAAATAGTGGCTCCGGCCTAGAAAACCGAACATAACTGCTAAATACGCTGACCACATGACACCCTCTATCTGCTAAAGTTGACACTAACTTTGCTGACAAGGGATGGTCATTCGCTCGGTCAGTAGAGTTCGTTTGCAGACTAAAATGACAGAGTTTGTGTTGTTTGTTTGATATGAATCCCCATTCATAATTTTTTTAATTATATGAGTAAACTTTAAAGAATGAATAAAATTTAAGTCAATAAATTAAAGTTTTGCATAGCATAAGAAACCTTAATGAAGGAAGAAAACTCAGTTCAGAAATTTAAGCAATTTAAATATGGATTGGGAATGAGGAATTTAATCATACCCAAAACCTCTGCCACAATAATGCATATTGTGACATAACACCTGGAAACCAGAATAGTGAAACCAGTGTGGAAGTCCATTGCTAGCAAATGGTCAGTTACAACGCATTTCCACTATAATGGATATGCTGGTAAAAATCAAAGAGTTGCCACAGGATCAACACACATTCCATGGCAACGAATAATAACTGATGGATGTAGTAGTCTCTCATCATTTCACCCCGAAGTTATAAAAGACAGTTCATTCGAAAATTCATTTATTCAGTGGTTACTACCCATGTGGAGGCGGGGTTGAGTACTTCCACTGTGACCCTGTGAGTCATAGGAGGTGACAAAAAGGGAAGTCTCAAATCTAAGACAGTAAAATATGGTCGCGAGTCTCAAGGGAATAAGACCCGAGAAAGACCGCGCTGTCAAGGGCCAGCAGCATATACAAAGGACAGACCCATTCTCTCGTCAGATAGGATGCCCCACGAAAGAAGACTGTAACTGTCAAACAGCAATAAATATCTGGTAGTAAGCTTGACACCAAGACTTACTGACTGACTGACTGTCAGTCGCAATGTCACTTTCACTTTGATTCATTCATTCATTCATTCATAAGAGAATTCAGAAGGCAGTTCAATAGTTGAGTGGTCAGCTGTGAAGCATTAACCAGTTAAGATTCGTTACCAAGCAATGACTAGCGACAATAGACAAAGACGTCTTCATTTTGTGTGCTATAGTTACAGCAATTTTTAGAGTGTGTAAACCAGTGACGCTGTTATATTTATTTGTAGTTATGACAATTGAGTGTTCAATAAATCTATTCACCAATCCAGCCCTTGTATCTAGTCACTAATACATGTGACAATAATTTATGTACTGGTAAGAATAAGGAGTAAATTTCACGATGGGCCTGTCTTTGGATGTACTCTTTCAGGTTTGTGGTATTAAAGTAAAGTAAAATGATATTCCTATATGCACTGGAGGACTGCAGATGTCACTGTTCTCCATAAAGTGTGTCATATCTTCCTGAAAACAAAGGAAGGCTAAAATGATGATCTAGTAATGATTCTCCTATTTAGATGACCAAGAATTCAAACAATGGACTGCAAGAATGTGGAGGTTGTGCCTACAATGTAGAATCTATACTAGCAACTTTTAGTTTTTGACTTTACCATAAGACTTAAGTAGGTAAATGGAAAACAAGACATTAAGTTTAATGTTTGCATTTAAACGCTCACGTTTGAATAGGGAGTAGATTGTAATAAATGTTCTGAAGGCCTTGGCTTCAATCATTTCTATGTGAAGTCTCCACATAATCCTCTTATCGAAGATTATGACCAGGTATTTTACGTGATTGACGAAGATGATATTCTGCCCATTCAATGTAAGATGAGTCTGAGGGGGCCTAAGTCTAAGAGAGAAGTAGATTGCCTGAGTTTTATCTTCATTGATTTTTATGTTCCAGCGATCACATCACGTCCTGATAACACTGAGACCTCACTGCAGCTTTCTGAGAACATAACCCTCTTTGCAGTCTGTCACATATATACAGGTGTCGTCAGCAAAAAGACCTAGATAGACACCAGGTGTTTGGGGCATATCATTTATATACATTGCGACTGACGTTCAGTCAGTCAGTAAGTCTTAGTGTCGAACCCCGTCTGGGGCTCATGACCAGATATTTATTACTGTTGAACATTACAGTTTTGTTTTTTTGTGGGGTGTCCTCTCTAACGAGAGGACAGGTCTGTCTTATTTACATGCTACTGGTCCTTGCCAGTGCAGTCTTTCTTGGGTCTGAGTCCCTTGGAACTCGCGACCGTATTTTACTGTCTCAGATTTCAGACTTCCCTTTTCGTTGCCTCCTACGACTTGCAGGGTCATGGTGGAGGTATTCGACCCCGCCTCCACACGGGTTGAATGAATGAAGAGTCTCCACAACTCCTTATATAGGCTAGCTCGTATGATGGAAATTCCACTGTCTCGAATCCATTATCACAAAAACGTTCTTACTGAAGTGTTTGCTACTAAGCAACCAACGTTCTATTGCTGACTTCATTGAAAATGTCTTTACCCAGCAATGGAGTTTTCTAGCTCCATAGCTTAACGCTTTGAGCAAATCAATCACAATATCATCACTTCCTAAAAACTTACTTGTGCCTTATGATTAAAAAAAGGGTAGAAAGGTACAGAGTCAGAGACTGAACTAAAATATAGCTCCAATTGTACCAGAATCTTCTGAACATTGTCTAACTCATTTGAAAACAGAATGATGTGGACTGTATCAAGATTGCTTGAACTAGTCCAGAACATGTCCCAGACTATACCAAAACATACTGAAACTGGTCCACGTGATCCAGACTGTAAATAGCTGCTAAATGCATCCAAAATATAACACAGACTGCACTATAATATTTTGAAACTTGTCCTAAACATGGACTGGACTGTACCTAAATGGCTCTGTGATGTCTTCTTTTCGCTTCTTGATCTCACCGCCCCCAAGAGTATACCAACGAAAGTGCAGTTCCCAGTTGAAGGCACCCCAGTGGAGCTCAAAACTCCTCACATATGCAAAAGTGTCATCACTGATAATGTCAATCACTGGACACACCACACGAGTCCTATCCTCAGCAACTCTGGAGATCAAGCTCTCAAGCCAGCCTGAGGGCAAAATAACAAAATATCAGCCTGGTTGTAGCCAAAGTTTATGCATACTTAGGAGCAAAAGTGGTGCCCTTTAGATGAAGCGGGCAGTAGTGATTGGTATACCTTACTGGTCTCCTACACATGAAGTCACTATTGCCACTCTTGAACAGTGTATAATTGAATTATAGTAAAGTAAAAAGTAAAGCTATTCCTGTAACAGGCCATGAAGGCCCATAGGGTTGTGAGACGTTGAGGGTCACACATTATCTAGACAATCGGCTCAAAGATGGTGGTAAGGTCGTCAGCCTTATGCGCTGGCCACGCTTCACTCCCCAGGAAAATTATTTAATTAATTCCTGGTACTCATTTTTTGTTAGAGGCTGAGTCGGCCCCAGGGCCACAGTGTGGCTGGAAGGATTAGGTCAATTAAAAACTCCGATGACCTCATCAGGACTTGAACCCACGACCTTCCAGCTTGTAGCTGTACTGCCTCAACCACTATGCTTTGAATTATATGAAATCTTTCACACTCTGCAGTAGCAACGCCTTATGTGATGTGGCCAGGTTTGTTTGTGGAAGCCTATGCACTTTTGTTGTGTGCTGGAAAACAAGTGGCCTGTATAATGGTGGTACCATCAGATCTGTTGGTGGAAGACTGTGTGATTTTGTTGTGTGATAGCTGATGAATGGTCAATAACATGATGGCATGGACAGTTTTCCTGGCAGCAAGCTATACAAGTCTGCTGTGTGGTGGCTGACAAATGGCCAATAATATGGTGGCATAGCTACTTTTGTTGGTGGCAAGATACGTGATTTTCTCATAAGATGGTTGTTAAATGGGCAATATAACAATGTATGAAGCCATTCACATTTCATATTTAAATGGTGTTATGCATAAAAAAGAGGAATCAAAATCAAAACTAAACAATGTTTCTTTGCTTACTATCTTTAAGGATGCTTTATGAACAACAAAGGACATAGACAATTCACTGAAATCAATTATTGTTATTCTATGGTGTGAAGTGATTTATTCTTTTCTATTTTATTTATTGCTGTTATTTTTTTAATTCTATCGGCACATTCATTCTAAAATGCAGACACACAAATATACAGAGCATGGTGAATGAACAGTTCACTAGTTCAATATAATATGCGTTCTTATAAATACAGATACAATATCTTAAACTTTCTTTCTAATGTGAATTCAGTAACCCATCAAGAATCTCATTTCTTTGGGAGTGTCCTGATGAATTACTTGTCAAAATACAAATCATATTACATATATCTTTCTATGCATACAGAAAAGTTTTGTTAGCATGAATTGCATCATTCTCATCATGCAATTTCAGGTTGCCATAACAACAAATTGTCAAGCATCAAAACAATGCAGAAGATTAAATCACACTGTTGGTCCTGAATGAGTGAGCGGTCTCTTGTTTAATATACTACATAAACATGATTTGAATAACAATAACATTTTGATACAGATATATGAAATGTTAGGTGGGTCCCTTGTCACCATGTCATGGCACGTCCTGAAGTTTTGGATGGAGGAGATGGCCTCCAGATGTAGTGGGTAGCTGTGAATACATTGAATAAGCAGTTGCAGACAGCTGACAAAGGCTGGTCCTCCAGCTTGGGGGTTGAGCATGGGGATAACAACTCCTCACTGTAAAAAATAAGCTTGTTACAAAAGATCACAAGAAGTCTTGAACCTGGATGGATTCCTTGGATAAACAACCTAAGTGAAAGAAAATGGATATGAGATTTGGTACTTGGAATGTTAGAAGTATGTATAGGGCATGTTCGCTCATGGCAGTGGTGGAAGAAATCTGAAAATATAAGTTCGATTTCATGGAAGTACAGGAGGTCAAATGGGATGGATGCAGCACCGAACTAACAGGCAAATATATATTTCTCTATGGAAAAGGGAATGAAAATCATAAATTAGGTACAGGTTTATTTGTACATAAGATAATCATATCAACAGTTAAGAGGGTTCAGTTTGTTAGTGATAGGATGTCATACATGATACTAAGATGTCACTGGTGTGATGTCATTATTCTGAATGTTCATGCCCCAACAGAAGATAAAATTGATGATATGAAGGACAGGTTCTATGAAGAACTAGAACATGTATTCGATACATTCCTTAAACACCACAAGAAAATTTTATTAGGAGAATTCAATGCCAAAGTACGTAGGGAAGACATTTTCAAACCAATGATTGGGAATGAGAGTTTGCATGAAATTAGTAATGATAATGGAGTTACAAGTAGTAAACTTTGCCACAATCCAAAAATCTTATTGTCAAAAGTACAAAGTTTCCGCATTGTAACATCCATATCTCCTGGTGGAGATATCTACAAGACCATTAGTCTCTATGTGCTCTGTAACTTACTGGTACCAGGAGAGAAAATATGCAGCTAGGTCTGGTACATACCAATGGTACATTCACAATGGGCATCCAGGAAGGTGAGGATCTGTCCTTGAGCTTCCTTGGCCCCCATGAGCCGAGCTCTCACCAGACCCACTCGTTCATTGGTGCGCAGAACCCGGGTTGAAACTGGGAGCTTTGCCACATGCTCATCCAGGGGCTCCCGCAGAAATGCTGCAACATATATTTCAGTATTATGAATCACAAAAGCTGGTACAGAATGTTCCTTTAGAGATCTGTAGTAATATAGAAGGCAGAGACCACAGGACACCGGATTCATACAAGCTTTCATACTAGCATTTCATGAGACACTGCCCTCAGTTACTTCAAAGCAGAACATAATTACTTCAGTGAGATCTATCTGAATATTATCCTCCAACAACTCATGTCTCCTAAATTGCAGGTTTTGCTTCTACTGGAATTTTCCCATCAGCTGTTGTATCTCCCTCTCATCCTACATTCCCTGCCCATTTCATCCCCTTTCATTTGATCACCTGAATAGTACCTTGTGAAGAAAACAAATTATCGAGCTCCTCATTTTGAAATTTGCTCCATTCTCCCTTTACATCCTATTTCTTTAGACGAAATATTCTTCTCAGCACCCTGTTCTCAAACACCCTAAATCAGATACCACACCAGATTCTCCAATAATTTTACCCTGCATGACAGCATAAAAAGTTTGTAACACTGTATAGGTGCACTCAGCAGAAGGAATATTTGTAGAGGAAATAAATGACCTTTTCCCTTGTAATTAACAATTATTATATTCACATTATCTGTTCACTGTTATGTGGTACTTATTCAAACTGGCGAGAAGTAAAAACTCTGTACTGAATGAGCAAACAATCATTATTAAGCTTGAATGTTCAATGTTACAAAATATATAAATTGTTTAATATATGCATCAAATTGCATTTTTATAGAACATTACATTAAACAGATACAGTAAATCTGATTTCAATACAGTCTGAAGTGGATAAAGATTTTCTTCTGTTTCTTCTTAACTATAACTATGTTCAACAAGCCACTGTTGACTGTTAAACAATCATTTACAAGCTCAGAAATATATTCATAACTTCTGTTTAATTATCATGGAAAATGTAAGATGTTTGGAAAGGTGTATTGAGTATAAAATGAGTGATTCATTTTTCTCTGAAACTTCTGCTCACAATAGTGTCGCATGTCTTGAGTTTGAATCTTGTTGGTCACGTGTGTAAGTCCAATCCCACTTCTGACACCAATGTAACGTGTTTGGTCACTGAAGACGCCGTTAGAATTGTTAATTGGTTTATTTAACAACCTACAAGTATCGGCTACAATTACTTACAACAATGTTACGGGTTTCCACAGTTTACAAACCCTACATACAAATCAATTCACTCTATAGCGCTTCACTCGTTACAATTCAATTTAACTTGTAACTCCCCGCTGGCTAGATTCCAATGCAACCGTCTTCGTAGGCAGCGTAGCTCTCTTATACAGTCGCGGTGCCCACCTGTTATGCAATGGGTACCGCTGTTGCCTGTTACCCATGCCACAGCTGCCTTGCGTGTTATGTCACCATGGGTAGAGGGGCAGGGTGTAGACTCGCCTATTACCGTAGTAATGACAGAGCTACGATGCCGCCACATACCGCTGGGGAGGGAGGGGTCCTCGGTTGCGCAACGTGTCACACTATTTTTCTCCCTGATAATTAACTAGTATTGCCACTGCTTCTCAACTTTACTTTAGAATATGCCATTAGGAAGGTCCAGAAAAACCAGGTGGGGCTGAAATTAAATGGGACACATCAGCTGTTACTCTATGCTGATGATGTAAATCTACTGGGTGATAATATAAATACCACAAAGAAAAACACACAAACTTTAATCAGCACTAGTAAAGAGAACTATTAGGCTTATCTTGGACTCTATCCATCGTCTGGTATATATAAGACAAAAAACCACAAGGTTTCAGAGACTGGATCTGTCTCCGTCCTCAGGTGGATGGGGCAGGATAGTCCTATTCAGTGGTCCAGTGATTGAGACTAGCTCTTTCTAACGGGCCCAACTGAGTAGGTCTATCCTGCCCCATCCACCTGAGGATGGAGACAGATCCAGTCTCCGAAACATTGTGGTTTTTTGTCATATATATACCAGACGATCAATAGAGTCCAAAATAAGCCTAATAGTTCTGTACAGCATACACCATCGTCAGAATCCTTTCAAGTCTACTAGTAAAGAGGCTGGTCTAGAAGTAAACACAGAGAAAACTAAGTATAGTAGAACTTGGTTATAACGTCATCAAAGGGACCTAAAAATAGTGTCGTTATAAACGAATGTCGTTGTAACCGAAATGGGCACTTCCACAGTAGCCTTATGTTAGTCACGTAAAAATCTACCAAAAACCGAGTTAAAATGTTGCATTTTTTAGTGAAATACGTAGTTAAGTACAGACTAACGTAACATTAACGTGGAATTGCCCAAATGTGTAATATCAAAGACATATTACAGCGCTTTTCACTGACAATACACACCGCACTAATACTGTATATTAAAGGTAGGCCTACTCACCAAATTACAGTAGATTACATCAATTGTTGTGCCTTACTGTACCTAGATACGAGTACAGTAATCGGTTATCTTCATCTGTTTCCTGTTACTTGCCCAATATACACTTTCTAAATTACGTTCAATGTCGATATCAGAGAAATTCGGGAATGAAAATGACGTTACATACGAGGTTGATGCATTTGTGCATGTCATACTAAGCAAGGTATAAAAACAGTTGCTTTATGAGGAATTAGTTCGTACCATTGAATATTTGACGCAATAGACAGGGTGTCGCAGAAACCGATGTTGCTATAACCAAGTTTTACTGTATATATTTCTGTATCATCAGCAGAATGCAGGACAAAATCATGACACAGAGACAACTAGCTTCATCCTGGCTCATATTTGGCTTATTCCTTGACCTTTAAGACAGAGGTAACACATTCCTCCAAAACATCAGTTGACTTCTTATGGACTAAATGGCATTATATAAGAGGAAATAACCATTGTCAGGACCTCAAATCCTACTTCATGTAGACTACTGTCCAATCAAAATGAAAATTAAAGTGACATAACAATTTTTTGTAACATTCTCCAGCATTATGACAATCAGTTCAGTGGTTCTCAAGTTGCTACATGCATACTGGCAGACTGAATGAACTCAAGGCTGCAAATGTGCATAAAATATACATTTCACCTTCCTACATCTCTGTTTCCTGCTTTCTGATGCCTGTCTGATAGAAAACATCACAAACATTAAAAAACTTACAATCCACCCTTGCCAACATGCATGATAGCCACAGCTGTTGAAGCAAGGTGCAGTGTTGTAGAGCTTTCTGAAGTGGTTCGAATCCTCATACACAGTTTCATCTCTTTCTTTATTACATGAATAGCCTTAAATCTCTTAATTTGAAGTCCTATGCCCTCTTCAGATTTCTGGGTACAATATATTGTGAAATGACAAGGTAAGCAACCATACTCTGGGTGAATAATGAATACATCAGCTTACTTGTCTTATATATGAATATTGATCCATCCTACATCATATTTTCCTTTCCTGTGTAAATATTGCTAATGAAAATAATTTATTCTTATGGGTGCTCCACAAGAAGTTGCAGAGTTGGAGAGGCAGGCAGGGCAGCTGAACTATGCACTACATACTGTCCTAAATATATCAGCCAACTTACCTTCACTACAGGAAAACAAACTCAGACATCAGTGATTTCACATCATCAGTAATTATGCCACTATCACTTAGTAACAAACAAACAACCACTTATGAAAGTAAACTTACTATTTATATTCACAAGCACAGAACGTATGGGTGACTTTACCTGAGTTGAAGCATACAAAAGTAGACAGTGAGTCATCTTTATATAGAGTCAGTGCCTGTTTTTTCTTACCAGTTGTAAATTAATATCATGTACAATACAAAACTGTACCCTGAGATTTGTAGGGTGAAGGAAGAAGGGACAAAAGAAAGAGGGTGATGAGAGGGAGGGAGGGAGAGAAACAAAACAATATGCTCTTGTCACATGCAGGGGTGACAACAGATGGGGTTTGGATTTCCTGACCACTCATACACTCAGTCCTATGTACAAGTAATTACAGCACCACCGCTAATCTCCACAATTCACAAATCACCACAGCACTGAGCCTGTCGCCTTCACCAGCCCTTCCTTGGCAACAGCTTCTAACAATGGACATTCTTCAGCTTCACGCTCAATTTCTATCTTCAATGCCTCCCATGCAGAAACACCGTTTCCAACAGTAACTCTATTGTTGCATGTGTATTTGTTGATGATGGAATGTGTTTACCTAGCTGTTCTACAGAAACTGTCATTGTTTACAGAGTCACCGCTTAGCAATGGGCCCATATGTCACACTATGTTGTATAGCATCAGTTCAGTATACAGTGGCCACTACCTTTCATAGCAACCACAGAAAAAGTGCAGTTCATCACACAGGTAATTGCTGATGTGTGTGGTTTACTGAACCTTTAGTGCTTCAGGCTTTCTGCATTCTTCTAAAGTTTCAAGATTAGAGTCTCATACTACAGACTGAAACAGATAAAGTTGTCTATGTTGGCCATTTGCCTAGGTTGCTAATTTTTTAGACCACATGAAAGCTCTTACTTTACATGTGATCAGTCTTCTTCAGTGTGACCACATGTGTTACTCACATTTTGATACTCCTATTGCAATTCATTCTCTTTCTATATGAACATTAACCTTCCTATCTCAGTCACTAAGTAAGTAAGTAAGTAAGTAAGTAATGGACACCTTTAAAAGACATCAGCACAGTGAAGAAAAAAGAAAAAGCAAGTTTCAGAGTACTTTAACCATACCAAGACAATCACCAATTGAGTTTTCATATCAAAAAGAAGGTACTTGTACATTTCAAGCATGAGCTGGAGTAGCTCAATTGGTATAGCAACAGGCTACAGGCTGGATGGCTGGGGCATAAACCCCAGCAGGCTCTGGGGCTCACCCAGCCTCCTATCCAATGTGCACCAGGGGGCTCTTTGCCTGGAGATAAAGTGAAGTTGATCAGTCATATCTGTCCAGTACTGAGATCAAGAATGATGGAGTCATAGCTCCACTCCCTCATCTGTCTGCACGGCATAGTACTACTTAAACACAGGGACTTTAGTTTTAACTTTTATGTTTTGGATACAAAATAATTCTAAGGATTCCCTCAATAGGGGTCAGTGCGTTACACAGAGCATCCTGACCTCTCGTGCTGGCATCATCCACAAGGAGAATCTCCTGCAGCAGGTTGTGGGGTGACCTGTTGATTACGCTGTGAACGGTACGCAGGAGTGTGGACCATGCTTCATTGTGGAACACGATGATCACTGTTGTCGCAGGCAGGTGGCTTAGGTTCTTCAGCTTCTTCTGACACCTGCACACACATTGGCTGCTTTGCTTACAGGGTTTCGAAATGTTTCACTGACTGACTGCCTGAAGAATGAATGAATCTAAATGGAAACATTGCTGAATGAATGAATGAGGAACTGACTGACTGCTTAAATCACAGTTTCTTAAACTGAGGATCATGGCCCACAATGCTTGTAATTTACTCTAAGGGGGCTGTTTCCAAAGGGCTCTGATGATGGTGTATAACACAGAATTACTGGGATTTTGGACTTTTATCATCATCTAGGAAATATTCTAGGAAATAAAAAACATGACATTTCAGAAACTGGATCTGTTTCCATCCTCAGATGAGGGGGAGAGATGGAAGACACCTACTCAGTTGGGCCCCTTAGAAAGATCTAACCTCAATCAGTCCAAAAACCCAGTAATTCTAAGGGAGTTGCTGATTTGCATGAATTATTTAAATAAAGTTTTATCCACTCAACAGTTCTGGCAAGTTAGCATTTCAACAAGATTTAAAAACTACAGGTGGTTTCTTGAAAACGTAGCTGCAGACTTTCTCACAACTGAATAGGAACATTTCTTAGCTTACTACAGATGTCATTCATTCATTTCCATTATTTTCCATATATCCATACAGGTAACAAACCTAGGATGTGGAAATAGTCCCTTTGATAATAGATGTGTCCAGATACATATAATAAATTGCATGAGTTACATAATTAAAATCACATACATTAGTCAATTAGCATAAATAATAAAATAAAAAATTAATCTCATTTTATTAATAAACATAATTTAAAAAGAACATTACTATAAAAATTTAAATTAACACAATTTAATTTATCATTATTATTATTATTTATTATTTCCATGGATCCCCATATAGCTGGAACACCAGCTGATAGAAAAATAGTCAATGAGAACAAGACAAATCACATCAATTACACAAATACAATAGATTACATAAATACAATCCACTACTTAATTACAATACATACTCATAATCCATCACAATTAAAACTTTCTGATTGTGTCATTAAAAAAATTATTACTGTCAGGAAAGGTGGATGAAAAAGATTTAACACCAACATAATTTGATGATTGCAGAGACTCTGTACAGCTATTTAGATTTTTACTCTCACCACTTATCCTGGGATTCACACTACCACAAAATTCAAGAACCCATGGCTTAAATGACTGACGGACAGATCAGCATAATGGTTGGTTGATTTACTGGTTGACTGATTGACTGCATGAATAGATCTCTGAATAAGTGACCATTTGATTGTCTAGTTCAATAGCTGGCCAGCTGGCTCACTGACTAGTTGACTGACTGACTGACTGACTGATTGACTGGTGAGTGGATGGATAACCAACTACATGAATGGCTGACTGACTGACTGAATGAAAACAGGCTATCTGACTACTCCAATGCCTGACTGACTGGCCAAATGACTAGATGAATGGTTCGTTGGCTGTGTGGCTGACTGGGTATATTACAGGCTGACTGCCCAATTTACTGACTGGCTGGCTGGCTAGCTGCCTGAATGACTGACTAAGTAGCTGACTTAGCGGCCTCCATAGTCTAGAGGTAATGTTCCCACCTCATGACTCGTGGTACGCAGGTTCAAACGCGGCGGAGGTCGTGGAATTTTTAAGGGCGGAAAAATTCAGGGAACAAGTCCTCCGGGAGGGACTTTAAGCCATGGGTCCCGTGTCGTAGCTTTACGGCACGTAAAAGAACCTCATATCTCCAAAGGAGGTCACTGAGCCAAATTCAATGTAATTTCCCGCCCAACAGTAGACTCTAACGCCTCTGATAGATGGGGGAAGCATTATAGATCCCGCCAAGCCAGTAGAGGCCGAACTCGCTGGCTCGGTCGGGACTGATGGTACGCACCAATATCGGTAGGGTATAGAGACTGGTAGAATATCATAGAGGGAAGCACAATGGACCAATACAGGTCTAAGTGCATGGGGAAACCCACCCTCTCCAATAACTAACTAACTAACTAACTAAGTAGCTGACTTACTAAATGACTGAATGGCTGACTAATTGCTAGCATAATGACTGGCTGACTGACTAACACAAACATATATTAACTGCTGATGATACATACCACCAAAGAAGCTATGACGTGATAATTAAAAATTACTTATTGGCAACAAACAGTCAATGTCTCTGTTAAAGTTCTAACTCCAGTTTTATGCTAAGGTGAAGATTACTGATATGTATAAGAATCATGCTATAAGGGAATACAGGGGTGTGAAGGTAAACCTCAGTGCTGGGGAAAATCAAGATATCAATTCACCTCTTCTTGCGCACATCCGGCAAAGTCCTGTTCAGCGGGATGCGATCACTGGCCATCAAGTTGAACCTATTGATGTGGAACAGCTGCTGCATCTTGAGCAGCTCATGGGATGGGATCATTACTGGCTGCCCATTTCTTCCTTCATTGGGTCGTGGGTCAAACATGTTCGCATTCAGAAGCTCTGAAATACAGTGGACATGTGATATGATCAGCAAGGGGGCCAAGAAATAATTGCACTCAGAAAATGTTGCAGGATGTCCAGTTGACATTATCATGTTTTAGAAATGTCATAAGAGGCTATAAGTATACAAAGAAGCAGGTCACATGTTTGTTTCTTCAACAGTGTGAGTTACTGTATGACTGCATATGTCCATAACACTGCTACATATAGAGTACTTAAGATATCACTAATTTATTGGATTCCATTCAGTTTTGATAAGTAATTGAGTGCTTTAGTCCTGGGCTTCTGGATATATTTTTCTTTAACTTCTGCAGGCAAAATAAGCAGATATTTTCTATTAATTCCATAGTAATGATCTTCACTGAGTGACAATAGTTTCTCAGCTGATGGTAGAAATTTCCTGCTCTTATGGAATAAGGAACAGTCATCACAAAATCTTGTCCTCTTACTCTAGTCTGACCCAGTTTAATACAAACTGAATAACATCTGGTAACAGTGAATAGTTTTAATTAGTATCATTTTCAAGTCCTCATTTTAATATCATCCTTACATGTACATATATTTCCATATCCAAATCCTAATTTTAATATTATTCTCTCATTTATTTATATTTCCAATTGGGCTCTTCACCTGGATTTTCCCAAACAACAAATTCATATGCATTATTGTCTTGAAAAATAAGGATGACAAACTACAGTGTGGAACAAAGTTTCTACTGTCTACAAGACCTGCATAAGGAACAGAGAGATGTTCATTATAAAAAGAAATTATTTGTGTAGAAATGGGACCAAAATTTGAATGAATGATGAATGTATGACAGAAACTGTAACAAAAGGTAAATCTATCCCTGTAACAGGCTGTGGAGGTCCATAAATGGCAGTGAGGTTTTAAGCCTTACATGCTGGCCGTCTTTTAGCCCCAAGAAAGATTCCTGGTACTCATTTCTGTCAGAGGCTGAGTCGACCCCAGAGCCATAGTGTGGCTGGTAGGATTAGGTCAATTGAAAAATCCAGTGACATTACTGGGAATCAAACCTGTGACCTTACATCTCATAGCATAGTGCCTCAACCAACTATGTTATCACATGCTTCTGACAGAAACTGTAATGAAATACAAACTGAAAGGAAAGATTAGTTTTGCAGAGACCAAAAATCAGTTGGTGGGAAATCAGAAAAAGATGCTATAAGCTGGGTGCTACTCCAGTATTCAGTGCTCCATTGTGCTGTTATCTAGTGATACACACAGAAAACATATTACGTCCATTTCAACTGTTTTACATCCATTTGAGACGTATTTACTGATTTTCCCTTGTATTATTCAGACACAGTCTAGGTCTATGTACTATCAAACTTCCATACTGAACAACTATGTGTATAAAATCACTAGACATGTAGAAAAATTGAGATAAATCTCACCATCTGTGAGGTTAGGAGGGTTCTGCATGTTGTTTGCATCCCCCATGTAGTGACCCACCACAACATGAACACCTCGGCGATCTATATACTCCTTCTGGTCCTGCCCCAACCTGAAACAAGAAGTGAATTATACAAGAAATATGCTTCATTATCATACTAGAAGCAGACTGCCATCTTAGTCCACTCAAATGTTGGAATCTAGGGATCAAATGTCATTTGAAGAATATTTGTCTTGTGATGGGCTGATGCTTCATACAATGAGTTTTATGCCTGTCTTATTAACATGATTGGAGGACCTTCAAAACAGATGAAGTGAACGCTCAGTCAAAAGAGTAAGAATAAAAAATAACCAAGAAAAATAAATGCCAGTGGAGCAATAAAGCCAGGAGGAGGAGGAGGAGGAGGAGAATGAATGAATGAATGGGCCTGAAGTGCCAAGAAAATGTGAAACAGAAGAAATTTAAATAGGATCGTAGTTCCAAGAGAAAGGAAGAACTAAGGGTCCTTTCTCTTGGAACTGGCTTATGAGCAGGATTTATGAATAATTATGTTGAATGAGACAACAGTAACAATAAGATAATGGGCTCCATTTCGTACTTATTTTATTTTGTTTCTGAGGCACTTACTATTTTAAGTAAGGGAGTAAATAAATTAATTGCATGGGCACAGTGCATTGCCCGAACACAGGAAATGACTGGCTGCGTGTCACACAAACCAGGCCACGGTCTGCAGATCCCATTGTTAGTACCCACTATTTGATCAGCATGACAAAAGAAGCACAGTCTGTAACTTACATATATTCATGTCATTTACTTTTATGAGTGAAATGGTTGTTGAAAATTAAAAGGGGAAATTTGATAATTCTCATCTTTAGCTATAGGTCCCATTCATAGTCCTTCCACTAATTCATTCTTACAATTCGTAGCCCTTAAAAGAAACTTCAAAATTATGATTTCACACATAATCTTACAGTCAAATATGTAGAAAATATTAATCCACATTTGAACAAGGTTTTAGATAAACATGAGGATTGCAGCCAGATCATTCCTCATGTTTATCTAAGTAATCAGGCCTTCATTTTGGAACATTTAAGTTTCGTTAATGTGAAAGGACCATATTACTCCATATTTACTCGTAGGTAGTTGCGAAGTTTGTTAACAACGGCATTTTTCGTTGCGTCTTTGATTTGGAGCAGTGGACTGGCAGTTTCCGGTTGCCTTAGTTACTGCCCTGACACGAGCCTGAGAAGATTTACGCGTCTGCCGGAGCCGGCGTATAGGCAACTTAGAGCAGCCGATTAACGCTGTCTATTCTGTTATAAGACACATACAAACACATCGTATCGGCAAAGTACTAAATTCTCGACTGTTACAGCAAGTGATGACACAAATAAACACATCGTATCGGCAAAATATTGTATTCTCGACTGCTAAAGCAGGTGGTATATAAAATTACCGTTATATTTTATAGGATTATGAGCATATTCTACAAGGAGTTTCATGCCGCTATACGTAAAACACTCAGAACCGGCCAGAGCTAAACGATATGCTCCCTTTTTTTCAATAAACATTCTTAACCAGGAGCATAGCTGTAACAGACAAATCATCCTGGAACAAAAACCTTTCGAATCCTTAAAACGTTCCATATACTTCTTGTCATTGAGGCCTGTATATCTAACAGTGGGTGATCAGTGGAAATGCAACGAGAAAGTAATGAATTTTTCTGCAAGGTTACACACATCGCCGACAACAGTTCACACTATTGGTCGCTGAGGAGTACCATCTACTGACGAATCACTTTACCTTGACGACCTTGACCACCTTGACTACGTTTTCAGATACCATCGGCTCACAGCATGGAGTCGCGACCTTCTCTGTGAAGCAATGAGGGGGAGGGAGGTTAAAATGAGCTTCTGCTGTCACCACACAGCCTGACAGGGATCTGGGTTTGGGTAGGGGGGCATATACGTGTATGTATTATTTTAGGCGGTTACAATGTCCGAAAGTTTGAGAAATGACGGCAAAATTTGGTCATATTTATGGTATGGCCACAACCTGTAACTAGAATTTTGTAAAATATAAGAAAGCCGACCATCTTCGTGGTCTAGTGGTCAGAGTTCCTGGCTACAGATCCAGAGGTCCTGGGTTCGATTTCCGGCGCTACCACATTTTCTGAGAATTAGTGGATCTGGAACAGGGTCCACTCAGCCTCGTGAGGATAATTGAGGAGCTATTTCAAGGAAATAGGTGATCCGGTCTAGAAAACGGAAATTAACGGCCTTGGGGATCTGTTGCACTGACCACGTGACACCCTCTATCCGCAAAAGTTGGCACTAACTTCGCGGCAGGCAGCGGTCGCTCGGTAGGTGTAGTTCGCTTGCGGACTACAGGCCACGGAGTTTGTCTGTTTTATGAGGAAAGTCACATTGCGAGTGAGAGTCAGTCTGTCTTGGTGTCGAGCCCCAAATAGTTACTGTTTGATAGTTACTATCTTGTCATTGTGGGGCGCCCTCTCTGACGAGAGGATGGGTCTGTCTTTTGTCACGAGTCATTGTCTTCAATAATATGTCAATTGTCATAATGTACGAGCATAATATACTATTTATATTACACATGTTATAAATGTTAATAAACGTATGTACATAAAATATAAACAAGACCTATATGAGGAATTACTTCAAGTAGCAGAATCCTTAAAGAGAATCCGGTAAACACAGCTGATTCAGAAATTCCCAGTTCTTTATGGAACACATGTATTCACTGCCGTATTCACAAGAGCCCAACACGGCCTCATCCTGAGTCAGACCGATACAGACCAGTAACATCGTACCTCTTTACGAACCACTGAAGTGCTGGGTCTGAGTTTCCCATAGCAGTGGTTATGCAGGATTCTATATTCTCGGATATTATGCCATACAGTCCAGTGAAAATTGACAGACGTTTCAGAGGATGGAGGCGGTATATTTCTCCGAAACACTGGTTGACTTTCACCGGACTACATGGCGTTATACCCCAGAAGAAAGAACGCTTCAGCCGTTTTGATATTCGTATTACGTATATTCTGCTATGTGGATACAACACTCTTGCCAATCTACCGGAATAGAACTCGGTTTCAGAACCCAGAAGACTGCAGTATAAATATCCACTGCCATGAAAGCATAAGATCTTATACATTTTAATATTATCTCAAATAGGTCAGTCATTACAGTAACTAAACTACGGGATGGACGACCGAGGAATCAGAGTTCAATTCCCATACTGATTCTAGGCACCACCGAGTATTCTGCCGAGTACCGGTGTTCTTTTCCTAGGAATAAAGCGGCCGGGGCGTGAAGCTGATTATTCCCCTACATCTAGAGCGGAGATTAAGAATGCGTGAAGCTACATTTCAACATGTCCATACATTTTCCTATTGTGGTGCTTAACTTAAGGGAAAGACAACTTTACGTCCTTTCGTTTCTTCCCCCGTGCATACTACAAAGTACGAAAATTATTAATTCACGAGAGATCAGACCCAAGGCGAATTTTGAACGCGTAAAGAAATAAGAAGGTTGTACATAAGCCGAAGGCTTGTGTTATTGTTATTGAAACAGGCGTTACAGTTACGGTGCGTGAAGATGTAAACCGGATTGAGCCGGCTCAGGATGGAGTGCAATGGAGGACTTTTGTGAAAACGGTGTTGAAACTTCCGGTTCCATATGAGCCGGAAATTTGTTAACCAGCTGAAATGCAGTCGACTCTTCAAAGAGGAACGTTGAGTTGTTTAGCAAGTCAGCTAGTTTGTTACTTTGCGATTGTTACTTAATTACCTTCGTTGTTTGGTTAGTTGGTTGATTAGTTAATAAATGAGTCCGTTTACTAGTTTGTATCCTTGTTACTTATTAACATTCTTTGTTTAATTAAGTGTATGGTTATTTAATTAAAAATCCCTTTGTTAGTTTGTATAGCACTTTCTTTGCTTATGTAGGATTTTAGGTTGTCACAGCGGTGATTATGAGGGGTTCTGTCTTCTGGGATTTAACTGTTAAAAGTCAACAGACGTTTCGGAGGAACGAATAAGCCAAGCGATAATGCAGCGTGAAGCAGGTAACAACCGAAGCCCTGCTTTGCTTATTATTCGGCCATGAAGATGGTGGGGACATGTTCCTCCGTAACGTCGGTTGACTTTAACGAACTACACGTCGTAATATCTCACAATATAGAACTGTTTCATTGGGTAGTACATACAGGGTATTTCACGACTTTAGGACATAACTGCAGGAGGTCATTTCATAGGTCTTTGTGATCAAAAAAGTTCATATAAACATGTGTCCGATTTTGGACGGTTACGGAGTTATGACCGTTTTAAACTCAGAACAGAAGGTAACAATTACTGACAATAAACGGAACAAAATAATAAACCAGCATAATACATGATACATTTAAAGTATGAATGTAAAGTTAACTTCGTGAAATTACCTTTAATTTGAATTTATTGGTACTTAAAGCTGATTTTCGAAAATGACACCGCCGGCCGCAACACAGGCTGCGGCTCGGTTGTGAATCGCGCCGGACATACCAACCCACCCCGCCTTAGGTACCTCTCAAGTGTCGAGATAACGAGAACGCTCTCTCTGTAGCTGGCTAAAAATAGCGACCCGCCAGCTGACAGACGCGGTTCACACGAGGGCGTGTACGGGAATGAAAAAACGATCATAACTCCGTAACCGTCCAAAATCGGATAAACGTTTATATGGACTTTTTTGATCACAAAGACCTAGGAAATCACCTCGTGCAGTTATGCCCTAAAGTCGTGAAACACTGTGTATACCGGTTATTCAGTCAGTCACTTAGTACCCAGTCAGTTCACGCATAACTGAAGTCTTAATACTGAACTGGTCCGACAAAGAGACACGAGCCTACCGCTCCAATGGCAGCGTCCGTTAACCTTTCTGTACTACACGCAACACTTGCCGCCGTCCGCCTGAATTAGATACATGCCGCGTACATCCGCTGTTTTCAAAATACGGCCAGGAGACAGTGATTCAATGTCAGTGACCAGAGCGAGATATGCACACGGGAAGTCAGTAAAATACGATTATATTCATGCAAGTTTTTTTGAAGGCTGAACT